ACCCCTAAGGGTCCACTGGTGTTTCCCGCGGGCCTGTCCGGTATGGGAGGCCCTATCCGGCATAGCCCCGCGGAAAACACCCCTCCACTCCACACGGCGGCACCTAGGTGCGCGCCGCGCCCTGCACTGCCCAATGGGCGTGCCTGGGCCCCGACCAGGTCCTGCGCTAGGCGCAGGACCTGGTAAGGGCCCCATAGTGTCCGCGGGCCTGCCCGGTATGGGAAGCCCTATCCGGTATAGCCCCGCGAACACTATCCCCTCCCGGCCGGTTGTTAGCCTCCCCACAGAAGGTGGGGAGTTTCCAGGGTGCACCACGAGGAGGTCACCGGCCACCGCACCCCCGCGCGATTAACCTAACCTAACCTAACCTAACCTAACCTAACTAAATGTACATATATATATACATATATATGTATACATCTGGCCACGAATGGGGGCTGGATGGGCCAGTACCCCCCTCCCTCCGCGGCCTCTCCTTATCTCCTCCTCCACCGACCACGAGGGATGCAGGAGACATTGCAAGACATATTGGGAACGACAACCAACTAGTCACAAAGAACACAATATAAACTTATTAAAATTCTATTTAATTTCCATTACCTTTCGCCGACTGCAGAAATTTAATTTAAAAAAACAACTTTACACATATAATACATGTATATTCATAAGAAAAATTTTAACACATGAGACAATCTCGCAAATAATGATTAAAAAAGAGGACTCATAGATATCTAACAAGAAACAAAGATAAATTAAAATTATCAAAACCCAGAACCAATTTTGGTCAGAAAAGTGTAGCTTTTGAGGGAGCGCAGTTATATAATAATCTGCCTAAAAACATCCGTGATATAAACACCATGTCATCATTTAAAAAAATAAATTAAAGAAATTTGTTAGTTAAATGTAATGTCTGACTACTGGTAAAATTTTCATGTTCTTCTAAAATTGTTTCTCGTAAGTGAATTTTGTAAATTCTTGGAGAAATAAAGATCTTAAACCACTAAACCACTAAACCGTTCATAATTTATTGTCGCGCGTTATTACAGTGATTGTGATTTAGCAATTTTTACAAATTACTATTTTAAATGTTGTAGTGTAATAAATATGGTATATCAAAACTTAAAAAAAAAAAAAAAAAAAACAGCATTGTCCG